GACTTATGTTATTGGCCATTAAGACCATGAAACACTTCCCTAGTTAAAATGCACTGACATATTTGGGCAAAGCATAATCCTTTAGCTAGTTTGTCCAGAAGAAATAAACCAGAGAAGTGAACTTGGTTTTCAAATCAAGCAAAAATATACTGTGGATATCAAAGCATTACAAAATCAAATTTAAATTAAGAAAAATTAACTAAATAACCTCAAAAATGCATAAATCCGATGTTAAAACGCAACAGAACAAGTTGATTGACTTACCGTTTGCGCATAAATTTTAGACAATTCACTGAGCTGTTCCACTCTTCTCTTGCTAAATTCATTGTAAAACTCCACAAAAGGCGCATTGAGATCATTTGCCATGGACTTTTCTAAAGCTAGCTATTTAAGAAAAAAAAGATCAATGCAAATCCGAGAAAAACAGAATAGCTGATTTCATTAATATATTTACAATAGTACTTTCTTCATTCATATTACGTATAACACGACGTTTTTTATATACGTAGTCGATTTGTTCAAGCAGCTTCGCTAGCAAGGGCTTGACCTGACGTGTGAAGGCGTGGACACGTGAAGACTTAATGAAGTTTCGCAACTTGAGGGGATAAAAATAGAAATGTTTTAGCACATAAAAAGCTTCTTACAAAATAAGTTATTTAAAAGCAAAGCTAAGAAATAACAACCTCTGTAACGACTGGAGCTGATAATTCGGGAAATGCAATCGAGGAAAAATTATTGAGAGCCTTCACAAGACCATCCAACAACCATGCTATTATAGCATCCAAGGCAGCTGTTTCGCGAAGTTGACTTTGAGAGAAGTGTAATAAAAGGCGCAAGTCCATAGGATTCCTGGACAACGTTGCAGAACGCTTATAAATAATGTTGAGATTAAAAACGTCCAAGAGAAGAGGAAGACTAGGAACGAAATAGTCACGATGTAAGCAAGAAATTGAAGCGTGGGCCTTAAGACTTTTACTTTTTTTCTCCGGCTCGCGACGACAACCACTAGAAAGCTGATTCAGCATCGTGACGCAGTGAAAGCGTAATGGCAACCAGCGGTCTCCAGGATTAAGTCTACAGTAGAAGGGTTTGAAAAATAAATCTTAGAACGTACAAATAAGGGCTGGGTTGCTCATATATCTTACCTGACAACTGCAACTATAATTTGAACAAGCGGATAAACTAATGAATGAACCAAATCGCTTTCAGAGGAAAATCTGGAAACAAATTCACTCCAGAGTTGAAGGCTGTTAATGAATTGCCAGTTAATAACTGATTGTATATCAATCTACATTTATTGGAATCATAAAATAAATAATTATGACCTTTCGTTGTGTTGTATATGCCTTCTTTAGTGTTATAGCGAGCTGTCGGATATAAACGAACGAATAAGTGTATGCGGTTTTTATATCCAAAGTAAAAACTTCAAGGACACATTGTCTCATAAAATTAATATGGCCCAAGGAGGACCCAGTCACAAATTTGGCATTTCGAACATAGCTGAGAAATAGTGACTATGCATTGATAAAAAATAAATAA